TTCAGACCAGGCTTGCTCTGGACACTGTCACTTGTGCTTTTGCACATGAATCTGCCCTTCTTCCTGGTGAGATAGTGCACAGAGCTGTGCTACCCAGCCAGCTTCTGAAGCTCTTGCAACAGCTGGGGCTTCATTAGGCTTTCTTGACCTGCTTTTAAAGACAAGGACTTGTGCCCTTCACCCACCTCTGGAAAACTGCACTGTGATTGTGTTTCTGTGAAGGTGCTTTTGATTTGTTGAATTACACTGTTAAAGATGTGCTAGTGGGCTGACCTTGTACAAGTTGGTGTGAACTGTGCTGCTGAATTTAGCAGAGCCACTCACCCCAGAGGGAGTCTGCAAATTCTGGTCCCAAATTGTTGCACTTCGGAGTTACTAGGTGGTGTAGAGTGCCTTAACTAATAACTCAGTTGTGGTGCCTAGGGGTACCTATGTCAGGCGAGACAGTTCACCTACCAAAGGTTAAGGGTGTCCATGGCTTGTCTAGAAAAGTGGGTGTAACCTCAGAGTGCCTTCTTGCTGACATCCAAAACTGGAAATCAATTCTTTATGTGCTAGTGGGAGGCTGTGGCCCCAGCCCTTTCCCTGGGTGAAGGCAGTAGCCAGACTCTATCCCAGTCTGGTGCCTCCCACTCTGGTTAGAAGGAAGCAGTGAAATTGGCCACTGAGTTCACCCAAGACTTGGTGCAATTATGAACGATTTTAGGATGCCCTCTGCTAGCTGAAGGAGAGGCCTTTTGTTAGGGGTAGGGAATCCTGTAGGGAAAACACGGTAACTTTTGTCCAACTATTTTTGTATAGTACTGCTTGACTTACTAATGCTGGGAGAAGATCTGTTTTGATAGCTAAATTCATTGTCTCAGATATATCCTTGTATAAAGCAACCTGTGCAGCAACGGGTAACTGTTCATTTTCTGAAGCCTGTGGAAGTGTCAAGCAATATTCCTGAAGTTTGTTAAATAAATTTCTTCAAAATAAAAGAGCTGTAATCCTTTCTTTTTATAATTAGATACTGGGGTGCAGATTTAAGGGGATGAGTGGAGTTTACATACTCTCCCAGCTGCCATTCTGTGTGTTTAGCCAGATAGACGATGAAGAAATGACTGCACGGTGCTCTGCTGAGCTCTGACCAAGGGAGCTGTGGCTGCTGCACACTCCCCTCTCCTTCCCCCTCCAGAGTGTCCACACCAACCCAAGCAGCCAGATCTGCTTTCTTGCCTTGCAAAACAAGATGGGCAGTCAGCTGTGCTGCTTCGTGGGAATTACAGATAACCGTGCAGGATCTTAATGATTTCCTGTTGTTGCATGTGCTCTGTTTACCAGCTAAAGAGCTCTGTCCTTCACCTCCCTTTTCCCACACCGCACCCTGTGTCTGAAGCATCCTTTTTCTTTTCCCCAGCTCTGCTTGTTTGGCCTGCACAAGTGGTATATGAGTACAAATGTACTTATACTTTTTTTTTTTCCCCCCAAGCTCATTGTACTAGGACGTTTAGTTAAATGTCAGGAAAACATTTCCATTCTTCACCACTGAATTAGTTTATGTAATCTCAAGTAAGTTAATTAGCACCTGGTGTTCTCTTTCTGATGGGAGAGGTTGTTGGTCTGTCTCAGATGGTTTAATATCTCTTAAAAGCAGGATAATGAATGTCACCTCTTGTTAATGAGCTGTTTAGACTTAGTCAGTTACTAACTTTAATTGGAAGCTTGTGCACAAACCATGGCTTGCAGATGAGAAGGAAGTAACAGTACAGGGCATGCTAGCTAGAGAAATATACTGGACTGTTACTGGCATGTTTATTTTTAGTCTACAGTACCTTCATCAGCTGTGCTTGGAAGGACATCTAGTCTGGGGGTTGAGCCTTGCTTGGTTTTGTGAGTCAGGGGAAGGTGATGACCAGAGGATGACTGTCTTCACGGGCCTTCTCTTTCCCTCTGCTGGGGTTTATGTAAGCAGGTAATGGCCCTTCCTAATCTTTTATGTCAGCTTGCATGCCTAAGAAGGTCCTCATCTCTGGGTGAAAGAAAGGTGCACCCCGGCGGCATGTCCTGGAAGGGGTTATTGGCTGGATTCCTGGGGCCTCTCATCTTCTTGTGGCTCCAACCCCTTTGAACTGCCACCATCCCTTTTTGAAAAAGCTAATTTCAGCTCCCCTGATACCCAGTGAGGCGTTGCACAATGTAATAATTCACAGCACAACAATACTGCTTTTTTGCTTCTGATAGTTTTGCTGGGAACTTCCTTGTTGCTGTGTTGGGAGAGTAAATCCATTAAACACTTCCTCTTAAACTCAGCCTCATGTCTTGAACTGCTGATGCTCAGGCTGCTGGAGCTGCTGCCTGCAGCACTGGCTTGCAGAGCTGCAACTGGCTTCTCAGGAGACCTGGAGTGACAAACCAGAGGCTGTCAGCAGTGACCCTGAGCAATGATAACTAGCTGTCTGAAAGATGGTCCTCATGTCCTGTTTACTGGCAACAAATGTCACTGGATGAGCTCATTACACTGAATGAGCAAGTATTAGAGAAAGGGAAGCGGTTGGACTCTGAATATGGAGTCTGTGTTCAGTTTGTATCAGTAGTTCAAGGCCACTGATGCTGGAGTCTGCATGCCTTACACCCATTCATCTCCCACTTTTTGCATTGCTTGCTGAGATTTACTTCCCTGTTTATGTGCTTATAAACATGACAGCATTCCCAAAGCAAAGTTACTCTTTAACATTTTTCAGTACAGTTCATCAAAAGATGCCCAGCAGGGAAGGGTGCTTTTGCAGCCCTTGTGGAGAAGATGGGTGAGGTGAGACCCATCCCACTACAGTGGTGTTTGACAGCAGCTTTCTACATCCTGGTCACAGCATTGTAATGCCTGGGAGGCGTTAGATGCCTAAAGGACATGCTCTTCCCAAAATGATGAGGATTGCACATGGCAGCTGACATCTAAGGGATTTTATGGAGCCTCAGCTCTTCATACAAATCAGGCCAGTGCTCAATGCCTGGAGAATTCAGAATCTGGGAATGCTTCCTTTTTTATCTCTTCCCCCCCCCATTTCAGGCAAGTTAAATGAAACCAAAAAGGCTGTGTAAAACAGTGACTTATGCTAGAACTTTTTTAAAATACAAAAACCAGTATCATTTTATTCTGGGGCATGTGGTTTTTCCCGTGTTTCAATAGGACTCCTGTACAATTAAGTATTAGCCTGGGCTCTACCTGATCTTGTGCCATCAGTGCTGGTCCTAACTACACACTGCACGGCTGAGGACTGGCTTGTGGGAGAGCCAATAATTGCATTAGATGTAATTAATTGCATGTCACTGTATCTCTGAATCTTTATTTCTTCATTTATGCCGGGTGGAGGCGCTTGCATTTAAAACAGACAGCTGCTTTGGCTTGACTGATAAATGCTTAATTCTCTGGCAGGTAACTTGCAAATTATTAAACAATCCTTAGTCTTACTTGTATGTCAGAGAGAAAATTAGGCTATTGGCTTTATCTTTTTTGAAGTATGCGGCTTGCTAAATGCTCTGGGACGGTGAAACCCCAAGAATGTTGGAGGCTCTGTTTGGCTTGGCTAAGTCATCTGGAAGTGAGATCTTTCACCCAAACATGCATGGAGGGGCATTCACTTCTCCCTTGGTCATGGGGCTGATCCTGCTTCTGCTCTTCCTTCCACTTGCTGTGGCTAAGTTTTAAAGGACAATGTCAACTCAAAACCTTGATGTTTCAAAAAACTTAAGTTTAAAATAAACTCCTGGAAATGGTTGCCAGTTTATATTTGGTTTTTATTTTCTTGGTTTTAAAGAGGTTCAACTCTCCCACCACTGCTGGTGATCTGCATCAGTAGGCAAAGCCAATGGGGCAGAGGGAGCCAGAGCAAACACCAAACCCTCCCTTCTACTGATGTGTCCTCCCTTGCCTGACTGTCATCAGTGCTGCTGCCTGCAGTGCAGGCATAGGAAGAAAGATATTTTTCCTGAATCTTGGGGTTTGAAGCGGTTTTAATAGCACTCAAAAACCTGTTTATACACAGGTAATTTGACTTTGAAAGTATGCTTTGAAATTCTCTGCATGTTTGCCTTCTAGTAAAATAGCAGGAGTCTACCACAATGGCTTGGTGTGAATAAATGCTGTCAGGGCGGTTTTGGCAGATAGGTTGGGGAATGCGGATTGTTCAGCATTTGACATACCATGCATGGTGAGGAGGGAGAAGCATGATAAGCACCACTTGCTTTCTGTTTAGTCACCTTTGTCCTTGTAGAAAACCAGGCAAGAATTGCCTCAACTGGGGAAATACAGACACAAAAGCATTTGCCAGATGGTTTCTTTTATACTTTATCACTCAAGCCAGAGAAATTTGCTTAACAATTTTATCCTTAAGAGCATCAAGCTGTAACAGAAGCTCAGATGACTTATTATAGCATATTACAGTGCACAGTCTTACAGCTTCCAGCATGCTGAGTGATTGTAGATTTTAAAGAGACTTTTGCCAAACACTTCGATGTTGTTCTTCACAAGATACCTGATACTGTCCAGTTCAATCGAGTTTTAAATGTCTCAAGGGCTTTCACTGATTCCCTTCAAAGACTACCTGAACAAGTCTCAGAGGCGCAGACACAATAGCAAAGAGCCATCTTACTGAAGTTTTCTTGTCAGCCCTTGGAATGTGCTACAATGGCTTTTTCACCATTTCAACAAGCTACAAAGACACAAATTTGGACACTATTATTTCTGAGGTCTCCACTGTTAGAAGAGGCAGGGGAAGAAAACTGTCTGAACCTGCCACTGTCACTGTCGCAATGGCTGTACAATCAGAGAGGAAACAGGAGCTCAGCTGTGCTTTATGTTCTCAGTGTCCAGCATCCATCAGCACAACAGAAAAATTTTGAATTTTAAGGATTAATTAATCTTATGTTTCAAGCCCATGGGCTGTGTTAATGTAACCTTAATAATATAAAATTGACTGTCCCCCCAGCTTCAACAGCAGAAAAAATAGAGAACATCTAAGTCACTAGCCTGGCTTAGCCTGGAACATGGACAGCCTCGTGGAAAATGAAAAGTCACTTTAAAATAGAAATAGCTGAAAAATATTGGTGTGGAAAGAAACAAAAATGACTGTGGCCAGAAGCCCAATGAAAGGCATCATGTTTTGGCTTGGTTTGCCTTGCAAAATAACTAATATGCTACACAGGATATAAATGAACAGATGTGCTTCAAGAACCATTGATCTACAGCCAAGTCCCACTTTTGGATACATACATAAGACTCCCAGTGCAGTCCGTGGAACTTAGCCATGTGTATCTGAGCATGGAGGTATCCTCCAGGCATACAGCGTTAAATCATGCTCAATCTTTGGAGTGTTGCTCTTCTGTGCCCTGGTGGACTTGACCTCACCATCTGCATCTCTTGAGTTAAGCCATTTCCTCCGTTACTCGCTGAGGTGCTGAGATGCCGACGCAAGTGTTTGCTTAAATGCCACTGCCTCCATTTTCTCTGAACTTCCAGCTGAACCTAGGTAGAGAGGTCACAAAATACTTAGTTCAGCTAGTCTACCTTGGAGACCCACGTTGCGAGAGCAGTGTAACAGGAGAAGGAAAGCGGGCTACCTTTGCCAAGGTTTGGATTTGTTTAACCCCTCTTTTCAGGGGTATGGATAGGGCCTGTTTCTTGTAACTTCTAGTGATGCTGTTGTTGCAGCCACACAGTTTTCTGTTAACCTGTTTTCCTGTTCACACAGTCTAGCTGGCCTTAGCTAGTGTTTGGTTTAGACTTTTCCAAGATCTTTGTATTAATTATAAAATGGGACATTTTGGCACTCAAAAAAAAAAAAAAAGGCAGATTTTCCTCAAAACAACTTTTTCTGCACCCTGCTGAAGAATCAGTCAGAGTACTTCAAACCTCTCCTCCCTTTCAAAGTGACTTTTCTTCCAACCTTAATCACTGTTTTGGTTTTATTTACTTTCAGTAACCTCAGGATCTCCCAGGTTTGGATAATGTTTTCCCCCACCTCTACCAGCAGCAGTATTTCAAAGTGCAAGTTCTACTCCAGAAGCCTGGGAGTTATCATATGACTAAAAGAAAATGGTCCTTCTTTGAGAAGCTTTACCTTATGAGAGTTCTAACAAACTTGGACTGGGTACAGCTTTTGCTAAATTCCCACCCAAGGATCAAACACAAAAGCCAGCCATGGGATGACACCCAATAGCGCAGTACTTTCAGGATCAGTTGGTTGTCAGTGTGCTCATGTACAGGTTGGTACTCCCACCCTCTGTCCCCAGACAGTAATAATGCTGTATCTGATATATAAAAGAGCTGAAATAGTTGAGAGGTGAAGTTTGCATCTGGCATACAATTAGTTAAGCTTGTCAGGTCTAGGAGGTGTTTCATGAGTGACTTTAGGTAGCTAGGAAGAAAACCCTCAGATAAAACATGTATTCAATGGAGGATGTATCCTACTGATTAATGAGGCATGCTTGAGCAATAGGAAAGAATGTTATATACACAAAACTCACCTCACCATTAAGAAAACAATAAAGTACAGCCACAACAAAGCCCTGAAAGATAAAAGAACCATGGGCACAGAATTAGAACTGCAGTGTCAGATTCTGAATAGGGATGAGGCAGCTCAAGGGCAATCAGCTTGATTTTGTCATTGGGACTCTGCTCTGTGGCAGACTTACATGTCATACCCCTTTTTCTTATTTTAAAGAAATAAGAGCTCGTCAAATATTACCTGGAATGATCCAAGAGCCAATTCGAAAAATAGCTGAATTTCCATTGTGCCGCTGCTTGCATCTTCAGGGAAAAAGGCAAAGATTATGTAGTGGACCCCAAAGAGAGGGATGAGGAGGAGTGTTGACTTTGCAAGCCTCCTGAGAACAAAGACAGAGGGGAAAACTGACGTAAAAGGAGCAAGAAGAGCTCAGGTGAGCTAATGTGCATGAAGTCACAACGTAAGGTGAAAAGGGACATACTTGTATTGGTTGAAATCACTGCTCCGTCCTTCAGGTGAGCTGAGCTTCCTCATCAAGATTCTTAAAATGTTGACAAAAATAATGAAATTAATCTGGGGAAAAAAAAAAAAAAAAAAAGAAAGAAAAAAAGAAAGAAAAAAAGGATGGGAAAAAACCTTCCAAACCAAAGCAAAACCACAACCAAACAGCAAAACCAAGTGCCCAGTAAACACTTATGTAACTGCCAGGTATCAGCAGAGTAACTGTGTGTTTAGGCTGAACAGGCAAAATAGAGAGGCTGGCCTGCCCATGTCCCTGTCCCCATCCCAGTTCCTGTCCCTGCCTCTCCAGCCTGTCCAGCCACCCCTGGGTTTGGGTGATGGCTGCTTTCTCTGCCAGTTTGCTTCAGCTTTAGTTATGGGGACGATCAGGGTGTATTATCTGGACAAATGACCAAAGGGCAAGGAGACCAAGTACATCGGTAGGATACCTTATGTCTGGGTTTCAAACAGACTCTACACAATCTGACCCCACTTTGGATTCCAGCAAAAGGGCAGTTCTGGATCTACCACTTGCTAAGTGGGCTGAAAATGCTGCTTGCTCTCTGCCAAAAGACACAGCATAGTTTGCGTTGATGGAGGCAAAGTAGTTAAAAGTGAGCATAGGAGAGAGTTGATACTCAAGCTCTTCCTTTTGCATTTTTCCCCTTCTCCAACGTCTGTTATCAGATAAAAATGCCGATTGGCTGCTCAGTTTGGGTGAAGATGAAGCAATAGCTGTTTCTGCTCGTTTGACCCTCAGGCAGAGAGCAGGAGCCCCAGGGGAGGCAGAGCTGGCTTGAGCATGCCTTTCTCCCATAGCCGGCTTGTAGCACTGGGGATTGGCTTGGATTTTATCTGCCCTTTGCACCAGGGCTCCCAGCATTATCCTGCACCCGCACAGCCTGCAAACCTGAGCCCCTTTTGTAATACTCTGCATTGTAACTCTCCCCTGTGCCTGGAAACACCATCGCAGTGATGCATCCTCTTCATGATGGCTTGGACGTGCCTGTGGGTGTTGGAGCAGGGCTCTGAGGTGGCGAGTTTTCCTAAAAGGAGTGGGTCTGCTGTAGATGGGACAGATCCAGAGTGTCTCTGTGTTCCCTAAATTATTGGATGAAGAGGGAGCAACTTTGCCTGCATGGTCTGGGCAGCTGAGAGTGTCTGAAGAGGGCTGGGAAACATGGAAGGAAAGACTGAAATATTTTGGGGCTACTGCGGGGAAGGAGGCTCAGGCCTGAGGATTCTGGGATTTTTGTTCCACTAGGCCGGTGTAGGCTGAGCAGGACTTTTTGCTGATGAAAAACTACTGTGGAAGGGGGGAGGCGGGATTCCTGCTGGGAGGGATTGATTGCCCATTGCAGCACAGCAATGAATGTTAGCCTAGGAATACAAAAGAGTTTATCGGTGTTGATTTTCTGGCCTTTGAACTGCTAAAGACTGTGAGGAATAAAGAGATTAGATCTGAATTCTGAAGGACTGGCTGTTTGTTTGTCTGTGGCTGTGGGCTTCAGAAAAGCCTCTCCAGTACAGAGACAGAGTCATGCAGGCGGCTCCTGCTAAACTAGATGTGATCAGGATTTTGATGAAACGTGGAAGAGGATGGGAGTGGTGGCCTTCAGAAGGTAAATGAAGATTGTGCTTTTTGCCTTGCAGGGTGCCTGGGCCTTGTTGGCATTTAACTATTGCTGGGTAGCTCCTGGAGCATAAGGGTTATAACATTAAGGAAAATAAATGCTGTGGACTCATTAAGTTGATCCTGAATCATTTGTGTGGTCTTCAGCTTGTTCTTTTGGGGTGAAAGGTTGCTCAGTGGTAAATGGGAACAATACTTTAGACCACCATCTCTGCTGCTTGGGTTTCCAAAACAGCATGCAAGTGTTGCAGTTTGTGTTTTGCAAACTTAATGGCTCCTACTGGCAACACAGAAACCTACACCAACTCTTGGGTTCTTGCCTTGGAGCGTCAGCAGGTTGCTTGAGAGTAAGTAGCACTTTGCATGCTTCTGTACGTGGGCTTTGGCTTCAGATAGATCATTGCAGAGTGGTCTGCCCAGTGCATCTCCATTGGGCAGAACAACTACCTCCAAGAGACAGCTTCTGCCCCATGGTACCTAAGGCTCTGAGTACCAGCCAATGTTCAAACCACAGGTGCTGAGTATTATATGTACCAAACTGCTCTTGACATTGCTACTGCCTTGTACTGGGCAGATTTACATCAAATTTGAATGTGCATGCTCATTTCAGTGAGCAATTCCATAATAGTGTAATTGCAGGCCACTAACATACGATGCAGGCAGCATGTGAGCTGTTTTCATTGCTGAAAGCAAAAGTTAATGGCAATGTAAGGCACGTTGGTTTTGGCTTTGCTGAGAGGGGCATTGACCAGGAGACACAAATGCGATTGCACTGAAATGTACAGTCCATTTGTTTCTCCTCCAGAGCCTTCCTTGAAACAGTCCAAAACAAGCTTCCACAAGCCAGCCAAGTTCATATGAAATCAACAGGATGTGGAAACCCGATCTTCTTCAGGCTCTTGCTTCTTGGGAGGACACTCGAGCTTTCCTTGTGAACTTACCTTCGGGGCATTAGTTACTGACTAAATCCTGCTGAGCAGAAGTTGCTTAAGCACTATGTGTCACACCAGATCAGGCACATATCTAAATCGGCTCATTAACACACTTCCAAAGCATGTTGATTTCACAGTATTTGAAAATACAGTTTGAATCTGCATGTCCCAGAAAAGACTTACAAAAATAGACAAAACTACAGGGCCTCTAATGATCCACCAGGTATTGGCATTAGTGTTGATGTCCCAACACCTGTAAAAATAAAAGAGAAGGTGCAGTCAGTTATCAAAACACTGGTGTCTTTTCAAAGCAGTTTAGTGTGTTTTGCACTTCAGATAGGCCCCTATTCCCTTCTGCAAAATTAATTTCCTGCTCTCACTTAAAAGTATGACATTTCTGATGAAAAAATGTCCACTTGCACTGGATGAAAGTATAAAGTATACCCTGCCCGTAGAGTACAACCCCTGTTCAAGATTCTGGAAGGGAGAAGAGAATAAAGTTTCACTGATCAGAAAGTCAAATACAGATGCTGAAAACATTGTGGACTGACTTTGTACTTGAAGGCCACCTCCTACCCCTGGCAATGCTCAGAACAAATCTAAGGCTCTTTCTCAGGTTGCTCAGCTGGACCTCTACTCCCATCCACACTAGGATCCAGGCTCACACCACAACAGGGTGGTGGTTGGTTTGCTTGGCTGCCAGTGCCTAGAAATGAGCAGGACCCTATGGAGCAGCCTGTGCAGGGGCTGCATGCACCCCATGGTGTGCCACCTTCCCCACATCCACACAACTTACCCAATATTTTCATGGAGTTGCCTAGCAGTTGCCCATGCAGCCACAAATACAGATGGAGCACCTGCAATTGGAAAACCTAGTTACTGCACCACAAGTCCATCCCAAATGCAAACGAACCCACAGCTATTCTTACTGAAAGGAAAACCAGTACCCCATCCGAGAGCGATGAACCACCAGAGGAACTTCCTTTCTGAGAAGAAGGAAATAACCAGGAGAGTGTGGAGGTACAGTCCCTCCACGAGTAGCCAGCTGTAGTTAGACATGATGCAGTACTGAAAGAAGACCATGGTGAGCTTACACCCAACCTGAGGAAAGAGAGGATAATTAGCTTCTGCCTGGGGTTGCATCTACTTTCTAACAGAGAGTTGTAAATAAATCTAGGCAAATAGAGATTTTATAGCAATTAGGGGACTGAATGGGTGGCCTTGAGACAGGTGATTACATGATAATAAAGCTAGGTGGGCATTCAAAAAAGCATTAATCAACTGCCTCACTAGCAAGAATCAAAGGTGTCATGGGCATAAGTTTGGGTTTACTGTCTCACTTAAAGGTGGCTTCACCTTATTAGTATCAGTAGCACTAATACCACCTTAAAGAAGCACGTGAACGTATTTGTCAGTATTTTTTTCCTAAGAAAAAGGGTCAATAAAGTTCAAATTTGCTCAAAACATTCTTGGTCAGCAACAGAAATGTGGCAAAACTGGGGGGAGTGTGGGTAAACCAACCAAACAAAAAAAGGCCTTTTTGTGATGTGGGGTTTTTGCTTCTTTGTTTCCCCCCCCCAATTCTTATCTTTTGGTTTAAAGTATTGAACAACATTTCCAGTGCTTAGTCGCACTCCCAATTGTCAAGATATTTTGCTGCCAATCAAGAGAAAAAGACAAAAAACAATTCAAAATTTGGGAAGTTCCTTTTCTTTTCCAGGCTTCCGAAAGATATGAGGGTAAACCCATCTCTTACTATCAGGTCTCACCCTGTAGTATAAGTCAGCAACACTTAATGTGTTCTCATACTTTTCCTGCCAGCCCCATCTACCAGGATCTAAAATCCATGTAATAATCTCCAACCCGGTTGTGTATCCGGTGTTCAGAGCCTGAGACACCCATGTTTAGGCATTTCTGGGTCAATGCTCTGAACTCCTGGTGTCTTCTGCAGCCATCTAGTTAACACAGTAGAACTGATGAATGCAGTAATCTACTTTGGACTGACCTGGGTACCTTCTGTTCCAATATTTGTAAGGGCATCTATAGCCTATATGAGGAACCACACCTGGGTTTCTGTGTGTATGCTCCAGCCTGGGCTGCTTTTGCATCTTCATGCCTCCCTCACTTATCCAGAATACTCCCAAACAGAGAAATAGAAAGCTGGGATGGAGATTTCCTTTCCTGCACCCTAACTACTGCTAGGATCCTCCAAGGAAGCTGAGGCATGGAGCAAGCTAGAAGGAAGAGGGCTACCATGTATGCTCCACAGTAATTTATGTCTTCAGAGGAAAACAAGACGGCATCCTTGATGAAGTTGGATGAGGCTCGCAAAATGAATGATGTGAAGAGGTGCATGTGGATGTAGTTCCTCGTACAGTGAAGTCTTCTGTTGCAAAAAAGAGAGAGAGGTCCCGTGAAGTTACATTCCTAGCTAACACGAGTAGCTTGTGGCTGTAAATAGCAGGTTTCAACCCTTATTAATGCTGAACTGACAAACTAGGAACACTGTTTTTCTGCCTGTGAAAGGAAGACTAATGCATTTCCCAAGAGGGATATCCTGGAGAAGACCTGAAAAAGCTAAGTCACATCTGCTCCACTCAGATACTTAAATAAGCTGAACACTGCCAGGAAAATTATGGTTTCATGCCGATACGCTTGTTCTAGCCTCCCTTCTTTCTGGAGTAACATGAACCAAAGCTTTTATCCACACCTGGGTGGATTTATTTGGTTTGCCTGCACAGTGTACTTGTGCATGCAACATTTTCTGTGTTAAATCTTCACATAATCTGGGTCCAGAGGCCATGCACCCAGAAGACAAGTTTGCAAAATAGTTGGGGTTCCTTCTGCCTTTCTGACACTTACTGTAAGGGATTTTTTTTTTCACTAAATAAGTAGCAAAGTACAAATTCCAGGTTATAAGGTTGTGTGAAGATAAAGTGACAGATTGCTGCAGTAAACTTCAATTTTTTACTTGCCCTGAAAGCCAACAGAAGGATCTTGTGTCTGCTGAGATGACCAGAAGCCCTGGCCAAATGCAAACTGGAGATGCTTCTCCTCACCTAAAAGAGATCAGGACCGCTAAGGCTATCATCAGCGTCACGAGGGAGGTGCAGTATCCAATGGTGTACATGGTCTTCAGAGTCATGAAATAGGAGCGCTGCAGAGGAACATATATTCACATCTTTACCTTTGACTGCCTGGTAGAAATCAGCCCATACCAAAAGAAAGGTGTCTGTTCCTATGTAATAAACATTCTGATAATTTGGAGGAAGCATTTATGTTGAAAACCACTTTTAAGAATAACCCCAACAGAGCTAAATCACAACCTCATTCAGTCTCTTCATAACATACTCCTCCCCCAAGGTCCCAGAGCAGCAGATCTGTGGTCATAGGCATTCATACTCACTCTTGCCTCATTCGTTGTGTCATTGACGTTGTAGCCACAAGCGATATCAGGTCTTGGGTATGGGTCAGACCAACCTTCACTTGTACAGTTTCTGTACACAAAACCTGTGTGGTAACAAGAGAAAAAAAAAGACAAAACCACGTATGATCGTTTCAAATTGTATCTTTGGTCTCCTCGGGAGTCAGTCACCAATAAGGTTGCTCCAAGAGTAAAGAGAACATTTTCCCCCCAGGCAATACACTCTGCATAGCTGGAAGTGAAATGCAGCTGAGCTAATTATGTTGATACTTGCCTAGTGTACTTGTACGGGTTATGATGTTGTTTGCCCACTCAGGGATGACTGTGATGGATGTGTTTTTATTAATTGCAACATAAATAATATTGTTCAGTACATCTGGTATTTCTTTGTCAGTATTCCAAGATCAGCAAACACATGACTTGCTCAATCACAGATTCCTACTCTGCAAAACTGGTACTTCCCTGAATGCTCCCGCCTCCTCACTGTGGTTTGTTATGGTCCAAAGAGAGCATAAGACTTTAGATGGTCACAGCTTTTTGGTGAGATTTCAATGAAAAAATGAAAGCTTTATCCCTATATGCAGGTCTTGGCATCATCTTACACAGCTGATTTCCTTGCTTACTTGTAAATGAAAGGCTAGGATGGGATTCCCCTCACTTAAGTTAGACTTCTGGAAACTGAATGTTTGAGTCCAACTGTGTCCCTCGTGGCTGTCTTTCTAGTCAGTGGAGAAAAAGAGGCATTTGTGGAACTCACCTCATTTTCAGACAGATATCTGCAGAGGACAGTTTGTCTGACCCACTTCTGCTGGGATGTCTGACTTGTAGGCTCCTAAGGCTGAGTGAAATGGATCCCCAGCAAGTTGCACATGCTTGAATAGGACAGGTTTGAACATGTCCATGTTTGGGACTAAAGTGGAAGTGGGAAGTCCTGCCCTACACACCTTACAATCTCATTGGAATCAAATGACCCTAGCGGGCATGTAGGTTATTTGCTGAAGAGAAGGGAAACTTTTTACAGAGAAGTAAAACCAGTACTTGCTATCCTGCTCACATTAGTCTGTCAAGTAGGAGCCACACTTTAGAACCATGGAGTGAAATCCTGGCTTTGCTGCAGCAATGTCAATACTAGCAAGGACTTAGAGAGGACCTGAAATCAGCAGCCCTTCTTGATAGAAGCCTTGCCAGAAGGATCATAAAAGTCCACTTTTTTCCCTATACATTTGGCCCTGAATACTCTAAGGCCATCTAGTTCCTGCAAACATTCCTGCAGCATTGAGGGAATGGAGGTAGATGCTTGTGCAGCAGTGTTTGGCACTGGTTTATGCTCTTTGAAGCCCTGCTGAGACTGTCAGGACAGAGTCGGGGCTCCTGCTACCTCTGGGCTAATTGTGGTGACCTGACAGCATGTCTGTGCTTGATTTGAGCTCACCTCTGTAAAACTGGAAGGCACAGCAAACATGCTGAGACTTCCAAATGGAAAGAGCTCTGGGTGTGTCAGTAACAGACCATGATTCTGACGCTTTTATGAACATCTTGTTCCAGCTTAGCATCTTTCAAAGGGCCAGGCTTGGTTTTTAAGCCAGGTTTCTATGCCCTGCTTCAGTGTAGCAACAACAGGAGAGAAACAGCTCTCCCAAACAGTTCTCCCCAACCTGCCTTGGTGCTCAGCAAGAGTCATAGGTGGTAAATTCTTTGCTTCAGCTTCAATTATTAAGACACACACTCAGAGCAAAGTGTTGTGCTTGTGAACATGTCTGTAACTGGTTTTTGCCTAAGGATGTCAAAGTGTATCAGAAAGAAGACATGAAATTCTGTGTTGGTGTGTGCATGTGATTGCATTATATGCAAAGAATGGAAGATTATGAGCAAAATTTTAACAATGGTACTTGCTTATGGGTGGCACGCATACTGGGGAAGCTGCAGTATGCCCCACTCAGAGCAGACTTTGGGTCTGCAGTCCATTCAACAATCAGTTCTTGGTGTTTACTGGTGACTGTGCAAGGAGGCAAGGAGGAACACTGGCTAAAGGTATGGCTGTGGAACTGGGGACATCTGATGTGGCCTTCTTTGACTCCGAAACCCCACAGCCATCGCACCTTTCCGCATTTCTTGCCTGAGACATAGTGTGCAGGTCTGCATGTGAACTTTGGTTATGTTACTGTTAGGTTACAGATTATTTTGTTTCTTTGGTCTGTTACATGGGAAGGGGCCAGACAGTCTGGGCTGCAGATGCAAGTCTAGATGTCAGCACAAAGCACAGAGACTAGGGTTTGGTCAGAGTTTAGAGCTATGTCCCTTAACATATGGTTCTTTGGCATTTGTGGCTGCCCATCTGCTTTGACAGTGGTGAGGAGAGAAAACTTTTGCCTTTTTTCCAAGCAAACTGATCTCTGTTTCTCTTTTGCAAAACTGCTTCAAACAGGGCAATGGCTTTAACAGTAATTAAACACAGGAGTCACAAGCCAACCACAGTATAAAATCAGAGGAGAATGTGGCTATGAGAATAAGAATAAACTATTGCTGACTTTGACCCAAAATGCCAGATGCAGAGATTGAAATAAGATGCAAATTCCAATGAACCATATCTTGGATTTCTGTTTTGAACAGTGTCACTCTGATTATTACTTATCAGAAGCTGTTCAGCTCCTAGCCTCTCGATAAAGAGGGCAACTAAAGTTTAAAGCTGTTAGATGATCTCTAAGATAACACAGTGCACACTTGACATGTAATTATGACCTTTGGATGTACAAATTCCTGTTTTCCTCCCCGGTGAGGTGGCCAGAGACAGGGTGCAGTTCCCTCTAGTGGCTGTACTAGCAGGGTTTTCATTCAATGCTTTTAAAAGCTGGTATCACTACTCAAAGATTTGTGAGCACATGACAGATGGATGATTTCTTCAGCAGTGATCTGTGTCTTGTGTAGTTTATCTTCTGTCTTTAAACCAGATTATAGGACCTGATGGGCAGCTACTGTTTGTGTGTACAGAAAGTAGCACAGTATTTATTTTAATCTGAATGTCTCATGTCTGCTTTTATTTAAAGACTGCTGAGTGCTTCTCTATCTTCTGTGATAGTTATTAGACAATCTAATACTTTATCTCCTATTCCTCCCTCCATAAAATGAATGTCTGCTTTTCTGTAAGTACTAGACTTTATTAATCTGTGTCCTATAACTGAAGTATGCAAAACCCTATTTCAATTTGAATCATTAACTTGCTCAAGAAAAATCTAAGTATGTTTCTTGGGCATTGCTGAAAAGTAGAAACGAACAGAAAGCAGACAGAAACTCCTACTTAATGGCTCACGATTACTGCAGCACACTGGGAATAAATTCACTTCTATCTTAAAAATCCCAGGAAAAAGACAAGTGTTGCTTGAGCTCATCTCTTTCTAAGTAAGTTGTTTGGTAAGCCACGACCTCTCTCAGCTGAGATCAACCACTGGCTCTGAAAATTATTAGAAGGGGAAAGACAGACAGAAACACATAAACACAGAGGCTGAGTGGTGAAAACTTTTTCCCTTAAGAAATCATACTAAAAACTGCTTTTCAGGACCACATTTACTTCCTGCAACTTTTTCCACCTGGTTAAGAGAAGCAAACACTTAAAACACTTTGCTACTTTAATTTCAGACTTTCCCACATTCAGTTTAGTGTTGGAAATGGAGCTGCTAAGTGAGCAATGCTCTTTAAAAGAAGCAGGGACACAATTTCACTTCAAGTTCATAACTGACAGTGACATCTTTGCAAATAACGTATTTATTAAAGCACGCCTGGGCAATAAAAGCATATCTTTAGTGCTACCTTTTTTCCCAGTCAGCATCTGGAAGAATTCAGGGCACTGAGCATTGACAGTCTGTCCCACGGGGGATGAAGGCCAGCAGCTCATGTTATCCCACATTCCAGCACATCTGCCTGAGAGGGCAACAGCAAAACACCATGCAGCATTTCCAAGTGATGAAACACCATGAAACTTCTCCCAACAATAAAGCACAATGAAACAAGCAACAAAGCACCAGACAGCATCTCTCAGGGACCAAGGCAGCTACAGGAACAAAGATGCTCAGTACTCTGAACGGCAGAGTACCTGGGTGAGACAGAGCAAGACCTGTTAAAACCTGTCAACACCTGGATCAACAGTTAGGGTTAGGGTTATTCGGGTTAACCTTCCCGTTCCCCCCCCCCCCCGCTGTAGTCCTGTCCCATTCTGGTCCTTGAGTCCACTGATATATATACTAGCCAGACAAAGAGCAACTTGGGTCATTGTGATCTTTTTATCAGGCCCTTGACTATCCGTCTGTCTTCTAGTAACTATTGAATGGCCCTGGAAAGATGAAGGAAACCAGATATGAACCTTTTAGCTCATTTTTCAGTCTTTCTAAAGTTTCCAGATCTTCTTTCCTGTGAAGCTTTCTAAAGCTTCCACATATGTCCTCTTTACATAATCCTTCTGTAAACAGAAAAAGATATAACTTGATTAAGAGTTTAAACAGCTTCAGAATGATACTGGGGAAAGGGCAGAGAGAAACATTATCAGTGTTATCCTTTTATCACCATAGATAGCACTCTGCTTGTTCATCTCTTTCATTATGCCAAGACTGTGTTGAAATGAATAATGCCAACAGCCTCGGCTTGGCTGCGGGGCGCAATGGCTTGGCTGCGGGGCGCAATGGCTTGGCTACAGGGCGCAATGGCTTTTCTACTACAGGAGAGCAAAAACAAAAAAAAAAAAAGGGAATTCTCATTTGCAGGCTAGGGCAACACACAGATACATACCAATATTCTCACAAAACCTGCCCATACTGTTTTTCTGTCCAAGGCCAGACCTCTGATAGTGTGACACAGCTGCTGGACCCATCTCAGAGCAGCCATTGAACCCAGAGCCCTGCTGGGCTCTGCAGGCACAATCCTGTGGCTCCCTTGCCCTCCCTGCTCTTTGTGCCAGCTGAGGCCTCTAAGCAGCTGCAGGGCTGGCTGACACTGCTCAGATTCACTCCATTTTCCCCAGCCAAGGCTAGCCTTGCTGTGATTCCCCTCCCACAGTCAGGGTGTGAGGGAGGCATTGTGTGCCCTTGGCTTGACTGTGTTGGCTTTTAGCAGGACCGGTAGAGATGCATCAGTCAACTGGTGGTCACTGGAGCACAGCATGATGGTGATCTCAACTTTAACATCTTGCTTAGGTGCTACAAGCTGGCATAGGTAAACTTTGGTCTGTGGTGCAGAGTGTTAATAGAGAAGACCTACAGTTGATGTCCTTTGTGCTACGAACTGCAATCCTGGCCTTTCTTACTTTGTTCTTCTCCAGACATAGTCTGCAATCTAGACTAGGTCCCTGTTGCCTCTGCTTACTGTCCTTGGTTTTAGCAAAGCCTTCTTTGTGGGGTTTGTAACATGACAGGGAAAAGAGAGGCCACTGAAGCATACAAGGACCACCCTATGCCTGGCAGGTCCTGTTGTGTGCCGAATACCCTGCATGCTCACTGAAAGCAGAGGGGAGAAAGTGCTGGATGCTGTCTTCAAACACTTCATGCTTTACAAGGCCAGCCTCCATTATCCCGACAAAGATATACACATTTCTAGAAGTGTATTGATATCCTCCTGCACAGCAGTCCTGGTGCCTGAAAATACACAGCTTTGAGCAGCCGGGCACTTCAGCTCCGGTGTCCTCCCTCTGCCAACGTTTACGGAACTTGGTAACCATTTACATCAAAACAACAGTTTAACAGCAAATGAAACATCACATTGGGTGATATAACTAGCCATGCAGCATTGTTTGGGTTATCAAAACTTCATGCCAGTGTCACTGGCATAAAGTCCCCAAATTAGATTCAGTGCACGGAAATACCTGGAAAAATTACAATGTTGGGATAGTTTCCTTCCAGAAGGACGTACTTTCAGATGAATTATTTCATAATTCACCAAGGTAACAAATCCTCCTTGAGCAAAGACCAGCAAAAGGAAATTCCTGGGCTCTTTCTTTGAGAACCATTACTTGAGGAAAGATATACATCTTACCCTTGTTTATTCCTCTGGGGTTTCACTGCCAGGAGGTGTGTTTGCAGTGTTACAGAGACAGAGAGGGGCATAGTTATTCTGGCCACTTTCAGCTTAAAGCCTTCTGCCATGTGGGTATCCCTGAGCTCATGGCAGTGTGCCTTGTTTAATCTGCCTTTTAATATTAAAAGAGCAATTTTGACAGCCACTGGAAATGCTTTCTCAAAGGTTTAACAAATCTGATAGTTTTAACTTCTCTTTCTCTAGATCTAGGGAGAGTGGGCACAGAAGATAGAATTATTTGACTGAACTAAAACAACATCATCTGTAAAACAGTACTGCCTGCTAATTTATGCTAGTGCTGGTCTGCACCTGCACAGTCCTGTAAAGTTTAGCTTGCTTGCATCCTTGTCCAAGGTGAGAAGAATTGAAAATCCTCTGCAATATGCAAGATTTTGTTGCTGATGTGTTCCCTAGCCGTGAGGACTGCAGCTGAGCAGCTGAGTTAGCTCCTACATCTCTTGCTGTCACAGTAAGGTCAAAATCCCACTCTCGGAGCCTTATAATAGATCTTACCCATTTTTCCACTCCTAAATGAGAGATGTATACAAGGTGCATGCTTCCTATGGGAAGGAGTGTGGGGTTATCTGATTTTGAAGCCATCTAGCTCGTTTGAAAGCACTTTTTGCCATACACATGCATTCAGCCTTTACCTGAGCTCAGGAGCAGATCATTTTCTGTAGTTCTGTTCTTTGCCTCCAGGGAGAGAGTCTCAGCACAGTTTTCTTCCTCTCTTTTCAGAACACTCAGGAGGTCACAGACAGGTGGGACAGCTCTGATCTGCAAATTTTGAAGCATTGGAATCACTTTTTTTCTCTTAAAACTCACATCCCTTCAGCAGGGTTTGCTGTTCTTGTGCTCATGCTCCCTGTGCAACCCTATCAACTGACTCTGGGCAGTATTTCTGGGCAATTGAAATACAGTCAGTTTTCCTAAGTAAGTCTGCTTTTTTTATAGTAGCAGCAGGCAAGCACAGACTGAGTTTCTGCCTTGTCTCTTTTGCTGACATTACTGTTATTGAGAAAGATGTGTTATTCTGCTAAATCAAGTATATGAGCAGGATGCTCTTCAGAAAGACTAGAGAGACATCCAAGGCACTGCTGGATTCTCCTAGAGCAACAAAGAATTAATTACTTGCCCCTGGCAGCATTATACAATAGACCTGGCTGGTCATTTTTCCAGGCACAAATGATCCAAATATGTCCATGGGTTGCAGACCACTAAAGCCTGTTTCACTGCTTCTGATCAGGAAGCTGCAGGAGCCAACCTGAAAACAAAACCTCACCCATATTTTTGTGAGAACCTAGGTAGTAATTTGTCCTAAGGTAATTCTTTCACCTTCCCATCTTGCCTCATCCTCCTTTCTCACAAACTGGTGTGGGAAATGTTAGTCTTAACTTAATCCTGATGTAGTAATTAAATGTGCAGTTTATGCTATATGTAGCTGGACCAAAACAAATACAAAAACCATCTACCAACCATTGAAATGGCATATATTAAAAAATCATTTGCAGGACAAACTCCCTGTTGTTATGTCTTGCAGTAAAACAATACTTTCACCACTTCTGTTACTAGTTTCTGTTAATTTTGACAATAAAAATATGGAATATTAGCAGGTTCCCCTTATAACAAATAAGATAATTCCTCCCTCATGAGCAACCCAAAAACCTTTATAAATTCCCACTGTGGAACTTACATGTGCACACACATATATATGCATATGTGTATATGCACACATGCTTAAAGCATTAAAACCAAGTCACCAGGATATATTATTTGAAAAGTATCAATTATAATTTTTTAATGTACTTGGTGTGGAAAAGTCAATTTAGCAGCATCATATTACTACTCGACATACTCAATCTTGTAGCATTGCTGATCACTTCCCGATTAGATTTAAGAGACAGAATGATTTCTGAAAACCTTGTAATGAGAACTATTGCTTTTCTAAAATTACATTTTAGCCCAACAGACATTTTGGCTGGAATTATTCTGAGTATTGTATTTCTGAACAAAGTCTGATCTTTTCAGCAGTGTATCATGTATCATCTCCTCAGTTGGTTGTATTTTACTTGATGATCTTTCTTCCTCATCTTTGTGTGTCATGAAATAACTAAACTAAAAGATATTTAGTAATGATAATGTATTATCATTAACGTAATGAATTTTCTGGAATCACACATGCAAAGAATTCAGGAGAAATAAGCTATATTCCAATACCAGGATTTAAATGGTTTTTAATTCTTGTATTATTTGAAGAAATTAGATTTTTAAAATCCATTTAATCTTAATAAAAATAGAAATATCTGACTGGAGCAACATGCCTAAAGAAATGCAATTGCATTTAGTAGTTCCAGTTGTTAGCTGAAGGCTGAATTTGATAATTTCTAAAAATGGACAGATTTTTTAAACGTGCATTGTCACTCTCTATTTTTATGTATTTTATTACCAATAGTAAAGCAATTTGGTACATTTTCAGAGTTCAAAAGTACGAATGTGCCAGTTAAGACCTACAAGATACTTCTGTGGTATCTCTGCCCCAAAGTTACCTTGAAAATACATTAAAAACAATATTAGTGCTGAGCATTTGAAGTGGCCAACAGAACCGAGCTGGTTTATACACAGGTCATTCAAGATGATACTAACATATGTAAAAATAAATGTTAGCAATCTCATCAGTAACACTCTCAGAAACATTCTTCATCATAAATAAGCCTATACATCTTGTGGGCACCGTTTTCTTTTAAGGAATGTAGGTCCTAAGAAAGCTTTCATTCTAGAAAGATATTTAAAGTCTATGTTATTTCTCTACAACTAGAATGAGGCTACAGGCTTTTAGCACATTCATCTGGGAAGATCACACTGCTGATCTGATACAGCATTATTTTCTTACATAAAATGTTTTGTTCAAGCAGGAATACGGTATAGTTAATGTCTTACAGTTACTGTTTTACCCTGCCAAGTGATGGACATGCTATTCTCCTGATCAGATATATACTACTGTCAGTTAAAAGATGTGTGGGTAACAGGATTTTAAACCCAAAGAAAGCAGTGAGCCCCCAGGTTCTGATTTAAAGACCTTGTTTTCCACAAGCATGGTCCCTCTGTCAGTCTTTGCCAATGTCAGCTTCTGATGGGACAGGCTGGGTATGAGTGGGGCCATTGCATGGCTGTTTTCTGAGAGATGCAAAATCCCACTTCCTACACCACGGGCAGATAACCCCACTCTGCTACTGACTATATTCAGTGTTGCTCCTGTTACTGTCCACAACTGGGAGCAAACTGTCCCTGAACCTTGAAATCAAGGAGGTAAATGGGCTCCTTTACATGCAGCTTCTTGGTCTCTTCCTAAACAGTTCACTGAAAGAGCTCCCGGCTCACAAGCTGTCAGATTTTGATGAGACAGAGGGTAAGACAACCTCCTGTTTTGTTTAAACACAGTATAAGATACCAGAACCATTTCACATAGAAATAGCTGTGATTACTAGCTGTCTAGATAACTAGAATGCTCAGAAAGCTGCAGTTTCTGATATTGATAGCAACAGTCAACTACAGCTTTTAACCTGTGAAATGAAGAGACTGATATAAATAATATTTACAGCCACAGAATTCACAGATATTTAATTTGAATGCAAGTGTGTTTAGTTTAATGAAAGGATTTAAAGGAGAATAAAAGATGCCTGGCAAAATCAAAATATGTATTTTTAAGGATTAGAAAAGAACAAGTGGAAGGAGATGCTTTCAGTGGCACCCTGAACAATCATATATGTTTATAGAGTCTGTTAGGTAGTACTTAAGAAAGCAAAATGACAAGAAAACCATAAGAGTCACTATTCTTATTGTGGAAGACAATCAAAAAGCAAAAATGTTTGCAGATTTAATTTACTATGTAATTAAAATGTCTAGATAAAGCTCAGGTTTTCTCAGAGTGTGAACCAAATCCCCTGCTAAGACAAACAGAATGATTTTTACCATAGTTGTAATGAAACAGAAATTTTTTGTATTTGATGAGTTTGATCCTTTCCCAACATCTCACACCCAAGCGGGATGTATTTCAGTTTTGGTTTTGTATGCTTTCAAAGTCTGAATAAGCTAATCAGCTCCTGGAGATCACAGCCTGGGTTCTGCTGTCCCTGTGTACAAGTCGGAGCTCAGTGGTGACAATTTGCAAGTAAAGATCCCAATAAAGTAATAAAGCTAAAATAAAGAAACCAAACTTTGTGGGTCAAACATTGCTTTGCATTCCTTCATTCTAAGTCAACTTAGGCATTGGTAGAGGTGCATTCCCCTTTAGGGGTTGCTTGCTGGTGTAAATCAGCAAAGTTTTTCTAAATAACATAAAATCTTTTCTTTATCACAGAACTTGCTATATTTACCAAAACACGTTAGTAATACTGCTGTTTAAATAGGTCAGGAAACTGAGGCATCCAGCATCCAGCCATCTGGTCTCTGTCAATTTGTGCAGGAAGCAGCTGAAGTGAGAATAAAATAAAAAATATTCCAGCTTCTACACAGACCTTTTTAAACGAAGACAACACAACTTCACAGAATACAGGTGCACTTACTCATATGACAGGCGATTCCATGCAATTGAGAATAAATAGCTCTGAACACTTACCAGGACAGCTGAAATCCAGAAGATGATCACCCAGATGGTCCACATTGTCAATCACAGTCTGTTTCCTTCATCCCTCACACACCAGAGGACACTGGGCTGTCTGTATGCTCTGCAGCGTGGCTCCTAGCTTCTTTCACTTCATCCCTTTCTCTCCTTCCTTTTTTTCTGTCCCAGCTTTGACCATCCTTAGCCAATGTTTCTCTCCAGCTGCTGAGCCCTAGAGAGCATCAGCAGTGACAGCACCCTTCCCTGTTCACCACCCAAACTCTCCTCCTCTGCAGAAGCCTCCCGTCCCATGAATAACAGTACCTCTGTTGAGCATATCCCTACTATCGCCTTCCTCCCTTCCTGGCTATTATTCACTGTTATCGACGGGCGTTGCTGCAGAATGGCCATTTCTCATGCTCCCATGATAAGGGACCAAGCAGGACTCCCATGTAAGATGTCATCCCCACAATGGCAGAGGTAATCAATCAAGAGGAAATAAAGCCCTGAAATAAGTGCCCTGCTGAGAAACAGAGTTGGAGGAATGTGATTAAGTCTGTCTGCACTGCTTCTGCTCTCAACAGCGCTGCACATGCCTCCCACAGTGAGCACACATCCCTGAGAGTCAGAAATGAGGAGGCTGGCAGAGCCTGCTGCAGGTGACCTGGCTACCTGCGCCTTTCACAAAGCCCAGGCAAGCAGAGCTGTTGGAGCTGAAGATGACCTTGAGTGTGGGTTAAGCACCATGGAAAGGGCAAATGGAGGGTCTGCTTTTCCCACCCATGCCAAAGAGGACTAGAAGTGTTCCCTGGACTTCACCCTCTCATACAACATCCAGAGAAAGCAAGTGTACATTTTGTCCTGATGCTATAGGTTGCAAGCTGTCATCATGTTTGGATCTCTGTGTTACCTTGGTGGTGGGAGGGAGATTTCAGCTATCCTGGGTTCCCCTTAGGCAGTTCCTCAGCAGTTCCCTTCCTGGCATCACAGCACTCTCTGTTTTTCCAGATTTTGTTTCTGTGGCAAAACTATTATAAAGGGGCTGTGTGTTTACCCTGGTTGTGGGGTCCCAGCTTGTTAGGTTCACTCGTGGCACAATAATGAGTATGGATTCAATGGAGTGCCAAAGTTTACACATGCACTAGTACTCTTTCTCAAAGCACTGCTGTTCTTTGCTTGCCTTGAAACATCTTCTGACGTCTATTTCAATTTACCAGTGCCCATCATCCCAGACAGGTCGGATAAGAGGAGGAGCTGTCCAGAATGCAGGTGTGCTCCAGATCTATCAGTAAAGTCAACGACTATGGCCATAAAACATAGAGTTTTTTACCTGTGCACTGAAAATTCAGCCATTGGATTAAGGAAGTTACCCACTGAAGAGCACAATGAAGGAACCCAGTTTCCTTTTCCATGCCCACTCTGACCACAGTAACTCTATCTCATCTCTATACATGCTCCTTAGGACTGTTGAATTGCAATGCTCCCTATTTCCCCACATAGCAACTTCACCTCTCTCCTGTTGTGGTTTAACCGGGACATCCCCACATTCCTAGAGCAGGGGTAATTGGCAGCATTTGCTCCACACTACATCTGTTCTGATTTGCCCTTTCGCATGTGCTAGCTGCTCAGCTGCCATCCTCACACAGCATCATTTCCCCTGAAAAGGGCAAATGTTTCAGTCTTCCTTGCCCCGTCCACACTGAACTTGTAGTAACTTTCATTTCTTGAAGAGCAATGCTTTTCCACAAACTTTGTTTGAAGCTGGTTGAAGGGTTAAACAAATTGTTAAAAGGGTGTCTGAGAGGCAGCCAGACAATGCCATTACAGTACTCTGAAGAAACCACGTTGGCAATGCTGTGGGGTGCCAAGTCATTCTCTCTCTTTCTTTGGCTGAAGGAATATTTTATTATTCCATTCGTATTGCAACAG